AGAACTGATATCCTGCTAGAAGTTTCACACAAGAGTGAACATGGCACTTTTTACTCACACCTCCACTCAACAGTAAGCGCTATTCCTCACGCTGTGCCCCAATGTGACCTTATCTCACCACTGAAAAACTAATAATCTCTGCTGTTTTCTTCAGTCTTAGTAGCAGACTTAAAATTACTTTTTTAATACAGACTTTTAAATCAGCACCACATGAAGATTGGCATTAATAAATTCAAAATCAAATTCCAGGATTAGCCTTTTTTCCCTCTCTATAAAAGAAAATCCTAACCCAATTAACAATTAACGTTAATTTGATTTTTATATGAGACAGTCACAATATTCTATCATCTCAGTTTGACAACCATGTGAAACGTTATATCCTGTCAGCACAGAAAGACAGAAAGCTACCATATAAATGCACTGGAATATTGGTACTGTTGCCTTTACGCAAGTAATTCTTTATGAAATTATGCTGGTTATCCCACAAGTTTCTAAAAAGTCACTAACTGACCTTTTCCATTATTGGTTTTTATATTAGCTGCAGGCACGTGGCACATACCATCTGCTGGGAAAGTAGCATGGAGAACTATAAGCAACTAAAAAGGCTCCTGCAATGCACTGAGGACAGCTTCCTGGACCTGTTGCTCACCAATGCAAATGAACTGACTGGTGCCATCAGGATTGGAGGCTGCTTGGGCTGTAGTGACCATGCTGTGGTTGAATTCATGCTCCAGAGGGATGTGAGACAGGCAAAGAGAAAAGTCAGGATGCTAAATTTTAAGAAAGCTAAATTCCAGCTCTCAAGAGAGTTCGTCAACAAAACACCCTGGGAAACTGTCCTCACGGGCAAAGGTGCAGAACAGAGCTGGTGAATCCTTAAGGAAGCTCTCCTTAGCATGCAAGAGCTCTCCATCCCCATGTGTAGCCAGTCAGGAAAAGAAGGCAAGAGACAAGTGTCCTGGCTTTCAACCAGGTCCTGCTAGTCAAACTGAAGAGCAAGAAGAAAATGCACAGGCAGTAGAAACAGGCACAGGTACTGTGGGAAGAGAATAAGGAAGCTGCCAGGCTGTGTGGGGATGGGGTCAGGAAAGCCAAGGCCCAGCTTGGACTGAACATGTCTAGGGAGGCCAAAAAGAACAAGAAAAGCTTCTGCAGGTACCTCAACCAGAAAAGTCCAGGAGGGCATAACCCCCCCAGAGAGTGACACAGGCAAGCAGCTTACAACAAACAAGAAGGCTGAGGTACTTAACTTTGTTTTGCCTTTTCTCTGTCTTCTTTGTTAACTGCTTGCCACAGAGCCCCCATATGGTTGGTTTGGTAGGCAGTTATTGGGCAAGCAACGCCCCTCCCACTGTAAGCAAAGATCAGGTTCATGACCAGCTGAGGAACTTGAACATCCACAAGCCTATGGATCCCAATGAGATGCATCCCAGAATCCTCAGGGAATTGGCCAACGTAGTCACCATTCTCAATGATATCTGAAAAGCTGTGGCAATCAGGTGAAGCTCCTGGTGACTGGAAAAATGGCAACACCACATCCATTTTTAAATAGGGTAAAAAGGATGACACCAATATCTGCCCTGTCAGCCTCACCTCTGTGCTGGAAAAGATCATGGAGTAAATCCTCCCAAAGGGGCGTGGATGGCAGGGAATAGATACGGGAGAACCAGCCGGGAGAACCAATATGATGGGTAGACTGTTTGATGAATGAAGGCTGCAGGATTGAGTCCAGAAAGTGGTGGTCAATAACTCAATGTCTGGCTGGAAATCACTGACGAGCAGTATCCCACAGGGGTCAGTGCTGGGATCAATACATTTTCATCAATGACATCAGAGGGATCAAGTGTACCCTCAGCAAATTTGGTGACGACACCAAGCTGTGGGGTGCAGTCAACACAGCAGAGGGAGGGGATGCCATTCAGAAGGACCAAGACACATTGAGCGGTGCGCCCAGGGGAACCTCCTGAGGCTCAACACATCCAAGCGCGAGGCGTCGCACCCGGGTCGTGGCAACCCCCGCTGCCAGTACGAGCCGGGGGCCGTAGGGACAGAGCACGGCCCTGCCGGAAAGGACCTGGGGGTGCCGGTGGATGGCAGCCGGGCATGAGCCAGCAGTGTGCCCTGCGGCCCAGGCAGCCGGCCGGATCCTGGGCTGCAGCCGAAGCAGCGCGGCCAGCGGGGCGAGGGAGGGGATCCTGCCCCTCTGCTCTGCGCTGTGACACCGCACCTGGAGCGCTGCGTCCACAGCTGGAGTGCTCAGCACAGCAGAGACGGGGGCCTGCTGGAGAGCGTCCAGAGGAGGGCCGCACGAATGGTCAGGATGGAGCAGCTCCCTGTGAGGACGGGCTGAGAGCTGGGGCTGTGCAGCCTGGGGAAGAGGAGGCTGAGCGAGACCTGAGGGCGGCCTGTCTGTGTCTAATGGGGGCTGTAAGAGAGGTGGGGACAGGCCCTTTAGCAGTGTCTGCTGTGACAGGACAAGGAGAAACGGTTTCACACTAAAAGAGGGGAGATTTGGGCTGGATATAAGGAATGTTTTTACACTCAGTGGTGAGGCAATGGAACAGGTTGCCCAGAGGTGTGGATGTCGTCATATCCCTGGACAACTTGATATAGATGTGCATGTCCCTGCTCATTGCAGGGGAGTGACCCTCTATACAGACCAGGTTTAAAGTGACTTCCTGGATCAGAATGAAACATTTAAGAAAATGGTTTAGTGACTACAGTGCATTGCTCTGGGTTCAGGCAAACTCAAGACTTAATTTGTCTAACCATAAGCTCTATTCAGACATAGAAAGAGATAGAACTCAGACTGTGAATGGGCTGAAACCTCTTTCAAGAGGCTTCTTGTCTTTCACTGACTAAAAGAAGCCAAAGTAGTCACGCTGCTGGTCAACTCAACTGATACGGTCAGCTGCAATGACTCTGAAGGCACAGAGAAAAGTATCCTGCCCTCAAAGTAGCTCCCATATAGACCCACCCTATACTTCAGGTCTAATCATGCCCATAACCCAGTGAAGGACTTCCACATAAAACATCAAGAACACTGGCATGTGCTTCACTCTCAGGTAGAAACTGGGGATGAAGAACCACAAGTCTCACCAAAAGGAGCCAAAGGAAAGAGTCTTGCAGCAGTAGGACTGTCCTGTTTTGGCTACAGATTGTGGAGCCCATAGCATAGTAAGGTTTCAGCACAGAATACTGAAGGCCACAGTATTCAGAGTGAGATCCTTTGCCTAATTAACCACAACATCAATGCTAAATTTAACAACGAGTACAACAGTGAGCTCTTTCCTTCTCCCAGCGCACTTGCTAGAAATCAAACAGAAGCATTTGGAACAAGGATACTGGCAGATGATCACCACTGCCAGAAGTGCTCTCGTGCACTGATAAAGGCATTTCCTTAAGGCTTGTACTAATGCAGTATGCCAGTGTAATAAAATATTGATAGAAAAAGATGAATTTACCAGAAACAGCCATAGTATCACTGATCCATGCAATTGAAAATATCCAGTCCTTATGTCCATCCTAAAAGGAAAAAAAAAAGTCAGACTTGCTGTGCCATTATATTCAGAGACGTATTCTTCATTTTCCAGTTTAGTACAAGCACAAAAAAAAAAAAAAAAAAAAACCCAGACCTACATTAAAAATATCATACAGGTAAAATTCCAGTATGAAGCTGGAGTAGCTCACATATCCAACACTAATTTTAAACTTATTTTGATAAAGCTAAACATACAATTAACAGTTAGAGAGCAAGTAAGTCATAGAAAAACAGACCTCGAACCAAAGCCAAACTGATCTCAAGTGTATGGACTTAGATTTCATTTTCAAAAGCAGTGTTCCTTACCTTCACAAAATAGATATTTCGTAAAACACATCTCCCTGCTACAGATAATAACTAAAACTAAACTTACTAAAACTGTTTACAATATATGAATAATTTTTCAAGACTATTAATTCAAGAATCTTCTATTTAGTATGTAAAGAAACCTGAGGGAGGAAAAGTCTCCAAGCCTTTAGTTCTGTTTGAAAAATCTGCAAAGTCACAGCAGCATGTAAGCAAATAGCAAATCATAAAAATCTTCACAGCCAGCTGCAGGAAGGCTTCACTATGTGCTACAGCTGAAACTCTGACCTTTGCTGTTGTGATGCCTTCATGAAGTCCTTATTCAAAAGGAAGGAGAAATGACAGAAGGACTAACAGGACATCACTGCACTCATTTCAGCCTTTTCCTTTTCAAGAATGGATATTTTAAAAAAGCATGATGACATTTCAGAAATAGATTCTGGTACAGCTTACATCAAAGTGCCATAAGCCACAGAGTTAGAATTAATCCTCAAAGCCAAGTTCTGCTTCTGGAATAATCCATATGTAAGCTGCATTAGAAAAGGAAAAACTTTTAACAACGTGCATCATCTTTCCAGTTTCAAGAGCTTTTTTGCTAACAGTTTTGTGCCTCAGTTTCAATCTTCATCATCATAATTGAAATGACACTCTAGATTTTGTTACAATTTCAATGCTTAAAAGTGATCTGAAGTGGACCTGAATGAAGGCAAGGAAAAGGAAATCAGAACTACCTCACAAGTTTAAGATACTTCGTTAAAGAAAAAAAAAAAAAAAGACTACATCAGTAGTGCTTTGAAGCTTTCAAAATTCAGAGATTTTTCACTCTTCACTACAAAACTCAGAAGTCTTAACCTTGCTCTGACCTTGGGCACTTCTAAGACAAAATTCTTACAAGCAACAATAAATTTTCCCAACTATTCCCACTTACATCTCCGACACAGACGGGATCAAGTGTAGGCAGACGATAAATTGCAAGACTGTTGGGGTTGTCACCACCTGTAGCCAGAAGGGTTCTTGAGGGGTTGAGTTCAATGGCGTGAATCCCACAGCCCTGCTGGTTCACCATGCCAGGCTCACGGTCTTTCAGAATAGGAATCTTGGTAATTTGACCAGTCTGGACATCTACCACAAATAACTGGAAAAGAAGAGTACATAAGTCACCATTAAACAAAGACCAAGAAAACAAAGCATTCAAAGACATTTGGTTTTGATTACTCTTTCCTCTTTTTTTTCTCCCGAGGCTGAAATCCACAAATGCTGCAAGTATGGCTGGAAAAACATGTACAAACTGCTACTTAAAATAAATAAAGCCCACTTTAACTTAATTGGTTTATTTCAACAATACTACTTGGTTTGCAGAGCAATGGAACAGAAAGAGAAATCTTACATAGAAGGCTTCTCAAATAACCAAACACTCAGTCTAAAATGTACTACCTGTTCAATACTTTGAGAAAACAAAATTGTTTTCAAGTTACTCTTAACAAGTGAGAAAGATAGATCCACCTCAAAGCAGCCAGTAAGCCCAAGGGCACTTAGAACAAGTCTGTGGCTGCACAGATAAGGGTACACAGCACTGCCAGAGTGAACAGCTATGCTCATCAGCTGGCAAAAAAAAGTTGTATGTCAGTGTTACTCTTCCTTTGGCAGAAAAAAAAAAAAAAAAGCAACAATAATTATGAAGTCCTACAACTCTTCACCCATCACTGAACACTGAGTTATGTCAGTTCAAACATACAACTGTAAAGTTTGCTTATAGTTTACTATAATGGTAAACTATAGTTTAAACTACAATTATAGCAAAGTATGGCTTACATTGTCCAACAAAGTCTAACTTCATTCACACTGGATCACTTCATAAGTGTCCAGAGTGCAGCTGCTCCAACAGACAAACTGATTTAACTGAAAAGAACCATGCAGCACAGGCCAACAATCTTCAGTTTCCAGGAGAAAAATGTGCCAAATGAGCAGTTTATAAACGCTTAGCTAATGACAATAGGCAACTTCTGTCAAGAATGTTTTCTGTCAACAGAATTTCTGTCATTAGAGAGGCCACATCTGGAGCACTGTGCCCAGTTCTGGGCTCCCCAGTTCAAGAAACACAGGGAGCTACTCAGAGAGACCAGCAGAGGGCCACAGAGATGGCTGTGGGCCTGGAGCACCTCCTGTATGAGGAACAGCTGAGAGAGATGGGACTGCTCAGCCTGGAGAAGAGGGGACTGAGGGGAGATCTTACCAACACTTGGAAATATCTAAAGAGTAGCAGTCAAGTGAATGTGGCTGGGCTCCTTTTTTTGTGGTACCCAGCAACAAGACAAGGCAGAATGGGCACAAACTTCAACACAGGAAGTTCAGTACGAACATGACAACAAAGTCCTTTACTTCAAAGGTGACAGAGCACCTGCCTGCCTTCCTCTGCAATCTCATGTAGGGAACCTGCTTTAGCAGGGGGTAGGACATAACGATCCCCAGAGGTCTCTTTCAACACCTGTGAATGCGTGATACTGTGGGCAACACAAATGACAGAAAAGAAAATGGAATATCACAGAGCATACCTGGCTCCAAGAAAAGTGTGCAATTGCAAATCAGGATTATAGCAGAGTTTGGTTCCCTCACCAAAGTCTGTTCAAGTATCATGTTACCCATTCCATCAATATGTCATTGTTGTGTTCTGTGTAGACTTACACCAACTTCAACCCACAATTCACTCTCCTTTGTAGTCATCAGTCTTGCACAGAGATCACAGCTCCTACAATTGCTGAATCTTCACCTTCAGTTCTTTATTCTGTATGCAGACGCAGGGGGTGACGGAACAGCTGAAGTGCAGCTGAGCAGACAGAGGTGGAGGACACTTCTCACTGCCCTCAGTGCAGTTGGGCATCCAAACCTACTGATGAACACTCAGCATACAGCGCAGCCCTAACTTCATCCCTGGAAACTAGTTGTCCTGTTCCTGCAGTGTATGCATTAATTTCTTCTCCTCTCATCTCTCTTTCTTCAATATTTTCTTTCAACGGAAGATCTCAGTACTTTCCCCTGCCCTCCTTTGACAGTTCCTGGTGTCACTTGCAGGTCCTAACGCTGGCACCAAAACTGATCATTAGGAAAACACATCCACATTTCAGGATGCCCACAGATTCTGAAAAATCATGTTTCAGCAATTAGAGATGCACAGCTCAAATGGCACCTCAATAGATAGGAGGACTGAAATTAAAAACCTTCCATGTTCTCCAGTCTGACACCCCTGTCACACATCTGTGCCTGATACTAGGTTAATAAATAAATAAAAATACTTAGCCTAATGTGAAACTCCTTTCATAAAGCTAAACTGTAAACTAATCAATTAGTCAAAGAACTTGGAAACATACAATACTGAAGTATCACAGACCCTAAACTCACACTGAGTTAAGGGACAGGCTTTGAAGGTTCACCTGTAGAGTTTGAACCAGGAACTACTGCACATTGGAAGAAACAGAACATAACGCAGGCAAACTAAAAGCACAATCCAGGAGTAAAATAAACAAGCACTACCTGCTCACATCATGACTTTTGCATCATCTGGGACAGCACAGAAAGATAGAAGTTCACACTTACAAGTAGAACCATGAAATGTCAAGAAATCTTCCCTGTAAATTCAGCATGCAGAAGCCAAGCAGCTGTTCCTAGCAATTCTGCCTTTTGGGCTTTAAAGCATTCTAACAAAATAGGCATCCAGCTAAGAATGTTGACAACTGAACACGGTTTTATGAGTTTTAAAGACACTACAGTAAATAAAGTGCAAAATATCTGACTGTTTATAAACAAGTTCAGCCATAACTCCAGCATGTAGTTAAATAAATCTGAAGAAAACAGAGTTTACCCTACTTTTCCTAAGAAAACTGGTATTGTTGCTACTGTTGAAATAAGTACAACTGAAAATTGCTCCCAAGCAGTCTAGACTCTTAAAGAGTCTTGACAAAGGCATGATAGCTGTATTATCCATTTTTTTCCCCACTCTATGAAGTGGGAATAAGAATTTTTTCAGCTACTTGTACAGAAGCTAAAAGCCAGTCACACTCACACAAAAAAAAACACCAAACCTTCCACTAGGTGCAGCAAACACAGCAAAAAAAACAGCAAGCTGTCTGCCCCTTGAATTTAAGTTTTACACAATTGCATTCTTCCCACTAGTAAAATATATGCACGACAGTAACCAGCACGCCAAATAACTTGATCCTCGGGACTTCAAGGAAGGACTGCTTCACACCGCTTCGGACATCTGCCCACAGTCCAAGCACCATACCTAATCTGTGAGAAACAAAGCAAATTCAGCCATCTTGTTCTCCACAGGACAATACTGTTCTAAGAAGGAAACAAACTGAACAACATCACAGAGAAATCCTTTCTTTAACATTCGTAAGGACATCCTACAACAGTGCTGTGTCACTCTAGAACCACGGCAGACTGATACAGCTTCATACTACATCTGTCACAATCTCAAGTTTTTAGAATCTGGCTATAATTTCCACACTCAACAAAATTACTAATTGCCTGCCTATTTTTTTATTATTTTATTTTGTATTGCAGAATAGTAGAAATCCTTCTATCAAGTAGCTCCTATACATTTTCTAAAGAGGCTGTCCCCTTGCCATACCGTTTACAATGTTTCACTTCATTAATGGAGGAACTTAATTGATCAACAAGCCAAAAGCCAATTTCTTGTAACAAGAAATCAAGTATCAGAAGACCTGATTCTGCACTGCAAAATTCATCTTCTGGATGTCACTTTCATTTTTTGACTTGCCTTTAAGGGACAAAGTTTAGGAGGGAAAGGAAAAGAGAAGATACACATTCAGTAAATATAACTGTACTTCCCACAAGTCTTTAACCAAAAGGATTTGTCAAAGAAATGCAGCAAGTAACAAATATTTCTGCCTATGCCATTTTAATGCTACATCTGATCTAACCATTACTTCAAGAAGCATTCTGGTCATATTTACTTTAGTGGGAATATCAAAACTTTGATAAGACTCATCTTCATACGTAGAGCAAGATTTTAAAAAAATCTAAGAAATGCAATTTTCATGGCATCACATGAAGAACAGGTTGATCCTCCGCCGCTGGATTTGCGCACAGAACAGCAGATACAATCAACTGAAAATTAAGGCTGCCTGTTCAAACCAATCTGAACAAAACCAAAGCACGTCACCCACAGCTACAGTATGTTTTTACTTCAGAAACAGGATAGACTCAGAGTCACAAGATACAAAGAACAAGACTACTTATTCTTCACATGCTGCCCTGAAATCACATAGCATAATGCACTTTTATCATTCGTATAAGCATCTGAAAAAACTCCAAACAAACATACTGCCTCGCTAAGGAGGCTCACTAAAAGAATAATTTGGGGTAGAGTTTCACAGTTGGCTTAAGTTAATCTTTGGAAATCTACATGTACTTTCTTCACATACGCTCCCTGCCTCACCAGCTCTGTGACAACAACAGGTGTTCAGGTAGCTCCAGGTCACCCAGATCTTCTCTCTGCCTTTGGCAGAAGCTAGGCTTTGTCTCAATACAAAGCAGCAAGCTGACCCAGCTGACTCCTCAGCCGTGCGAACACTAGCGCCAGCAAGAATGAGCAGGTGGGAACATCCTGTTCTGCAAGGGCATGGCCAGCAACCAGCTGAACCCGACCACAATAATTTCAGTCTCAGCCAAGCTGAAAAATGACATCATTATCTCTAAACTTTATTTCACTAACAAAACAATAGAAATAAGACAATGCTTAGAGTAGTTACACTAACACCACTGCTGGTTACACTGAAAAGCATGGATTTCCCCCCCGTCCCTCCCACGTTTCTCAGTATTGTTTTATGTTTGGATTGTAAACATTTCTCGTTTCTTTTAAATCATGGAATGCTTCCCATAAAACTCTTCATTTCTATAGCAATACAGATTCACTAATATATCACGCCAAGTCTCCAAGAAACACTATACCTTCAAAGACTAAGCAGACTCAAACTGGTTGAACTCCTTCCCAACTGAGATCACAACATGCATTAATTTTAGCACAGAACCTACTTACAGGTTGTGCAGTACAATCAGCAGCAGGGGTAATGGCCTTACACAAGTTCCTCAAAAAGGTCCAGAGAAAGAAAAACTATCAAGAACATGAAGGAACTTCTGAGGAGTTAACTGCAGTAAAAAAAAAAAAAAAAAAGTCAGTGAGTTCACCCTGAATTCCCATTTCCAGAGGCAGAGCAGCTCAAGCAAGCATTCCACCTGGATACAAAACTCTTAAGTCCTCACAGTTCCTGGGCATGCACTTCAATGCAACTAAATATGTTCACTGCCAAAGCCACATTCGTCAGTTTTTATTTGCATCTTGCTCTCTGTTTAATTTCAGAAGGCTGGCAAACAGTTAATACATGTCGACAGATGGAAAGGAAGGAGAAGTGAGAGACTTCACTCGCTAAAGGGCATCTCTGCCACCCACACCATACCTGGCAAAGAAGCTAACAAATTCTGGAAACAGACATGGCATCACATGCAGCAGAGAGAAAACCTAATGCTCCCAAGAGAAACAGCATCTGACTATGCTCTCACAAAACACTGAAACAAAGGTGAATTGAGGTGTTATTTACTGGTATCAGAGTTTTATTTACAGTGAACAAAGTACAGTGCTGAAGTAGAGTTACAATCTGTGGGAACATGACTTTTTTTCCCCTGCTGGGTGCAAGAAACAAGCAGTCTATTTGATTCCTGACAGCACAGCCAAAACCAGGGAATACATTAACTTGCAAAGCAAGTAGAAACCATTGCCACCTAAGCCCTCCATATTCACAGACATAAGAACCATGAATTGTATTGTTCACCACTACAGACACCTGGACTAGAAGACTACAATTATATGAGTTGTGCTGAACAAACATGGGATCTCCTGAAGTTGACACTAGGCTATCCAAAGCAGTGCGTGAATCTACCACGGAGAAATAAAGCTATTGAGTTGGCAATCATTCAAGTCCTAGAAAAGACACCTGAGAGATCAGAAGAGAGCAAACAATAAGGAATTTGGGTACCTTTGGGTTTTGTTTGTTTAAATAGCTTTCTGTATTCAGGGAATCAGATGTTTTTACTCAGTTAACTTCATAATTAGCAAAAGAATTACGATACATAGATCTAAGGGATCAAAAGACACAGCAAAATGATGATTTGTGCTTCTTTCAGAAGCTGCTTTATCCATCACCATTTCCTGAAATAAAGTAAAAGGAAGAAAAAGTTCAGTAAATCAACATTCAGAGTTCTCTCCTGTTGTAACCTTGTTTCCTCCACAATCTCTTCTGTTTCTGAAAAGCATGAGTACAGCACACTAATTACAGACAGTATTATCTGAGACTTCCTGGTACCAGCCTTTGGTAATTGAGATGCCAAGATGATACACTATGAACATCTGCACATCTCAGACGTTTGCCTGTTTCCTCATTTATTTTTCAAGAGCTTTAAGAAGCCCATTGTATACATGATCAAAAAGATCTTTGCACTTCAGAAAATCCCACTTGACTTTTTTGACACTGGAATGCCTGTATAAGTTCTGTAATAAAGTATCTAGGAAAGAAATTATGCACCTTTCATAAACTAAAATACACAATTTGACACAGTTGGCTGACCAACTACAAGCATTCAATGGAAGTCAGTGAAGTTTTTTCATACACACAAGCACACTCAGTGATAATCTTAAAAAGTTGCCCAAAACAATAAAACAAATTACAATTCTTATTGAAAGTGCACAACTGTGAGCTCTACATTCTCTTCAGCATTTAGACTGACCAGTACTGTCAAATAACTAAAAGCAAAGCCTGTCTCATGACAAGAGCTTTTGTTTTGTTTTGTTCTGTTTTTTTCTTTTGTTATTACAATAGTGACTACCTCTGGCACAGCACAGCCAAAGGCAATTTATAAATTAACTGCTAGAAGCTCCCAGCGTCACATTCATGCTTTGATTCAAGTAACTGGTTTGGTTTAAATTTTTCTGTTGCATTAGCTTTAATTACAAGCAATGCCAGTGTAACTAATACCATTAAAGTTAACGAAGTTGTTATAAATTTACTCCCAACTTCAGTGCATGAGAATAAGCAAACGAAACTCATCTTTATTATGTTGCTTACTCAGGAGATGAGAGAGAAAATCTTATAGTTAGAGTGTCGTTTAACACTCCAGCTGTTGTAACACGAGCACAAAGCAACCAAACTAAAGTTATTACAGTATTCATAATTCGTATATAATCTTGTAATGACAAAGCTGACTTCTGTCATCAGGACAATGTCCATCCGTAATCCAAGTTCAGCTGTGGAAGCATATACCTCATTGCAGCGTATGCAGTAGGAACAACAGTATGGTTGAATCCCTCTTCAGTTCTCTGATTGTTTGGTCACAAACAATTTTCTGCAAGGTTGCATTAACAATGCATTTGTCCATTTATCTATGCTGCAGAGGAATGGAACTACAGAAGTTACAGAACACAGCAAAACTGCTGCAGCACTATAAAACCTGCAGTGATCTTGCTAGAATAAGCAAGATTTTGAGAGCCTGTGTTTTCACAGGAGTTTGTCTTCTGTTCCATGAAGGGTGGGCAGCTGATCAGCAGAGGCAATGAGCACACATGGAGAAAGAAAGCAAAGAGATTCTGCTTCAGGATTACTCCTGCTACAACACTGTTTTGTTTACCCAGTTAGGCTTTGCTTCTTAAGAACTACTGTATGAAAGTCTCCTCCTGTGAGTAATTACAGAAAATCTGAAATGAAAAAAATATCGCTGTCCTTTGCAAGTCAGACCACAGAGCACAGAGCTTCCTCATAACAAGTTATTACAGCAAAAAAACAATCACGACAATTCATATACTTGGAAGACTGAAAACTGTTCAGTCTACACATTCCTTCCAAAATTTGATTTGTTTCAGTAGCACTAGACAACCTGCAAAGAACAACTTTTGGATTTTATGCTAATTCAATCAGAGCTTCCAATGTGAAATCATAGCCTTAGCTGAAAAGGCCAGGCTACTAACTCCAGCAGAGGCTATTAGTTAATATGTATGATCTCCTCCATTTATTAAATACATTATATCCCACTTTAATATTCCCTTATGTTTAAAATCCAAATCATCAGCTTAAGAGCCTGAGGAGCTTTCAGTGTTTGCTAATGCACACGAAAATACACGAACATGAGAATATGTAAGCTAAGGAGATCTAAAGTAGAAAAAAAAAATCATAAAGTAAACAAAGGAAAATCCTCAATACATTGAATTCGTTTTTAGATTTAGATAATTAGAACATCTCTATTTAGTCTGAAGAATACTGGGAGTTTAACAGCACTGTTAAACTCGAGGAGTTCAGTTCTGTAGTAATCTCTCAGTCATCAGCAGAACAACACATAAAACCAAAACACACTGAGGATGACACATAAAAACAGAGCCTCAACAGCATATTCTGCTAGATATCACATTATTTAGAAATCAGAGATACATTCATTAACCAACACCCCCCATCTGCAGCACAAGAAGAAAGATTCAACAGCACTGTTGCACTCCACTCTGAAAAAAAGGTAACTTAACTCTGTGCAGATTAGAGAGGCTGTGTACAGATATAGGTCTCATAGTCTGGTTCATAGCCACATGCACAGAGCCATGTTTTCAAATGAGAATGGGCCACAGTTAAGCCTGGTTCTAGTTACTTCCTAATATTTTCCTTGGCAGTATACAGAGATTAAGAAAGACGTCAGCATGAGAAAAGAAGCAAAAGAAGTGGCACTCACTGTGTTGCATTTTGTCCCGCACACCACTTGCCGGTGGTTCAGCCACTGTGAGGCAAACACTTTATTGAGGGTTCCGAGATGAAACTCCCTCTCCTTCAGGAGGCTGGGAAGCTGCTGGGCTGCATACCCGTGCAACAGGCGGTGGTAGCTGGACTCATTCTGCATCCAGACCTCCCTGCCTTTTAGGTAATACACCAGGGACCGCTTCACTGGAGGAAGCCGCTTTCTTTTGTGTACTGAATGATCCCATCCATACTGTAGAAAACAAACATAAAAATTAGATAAAAAAATGAAAAACAGTAGTCTTCTGAATTCAGATCAATTAAGTCTTCCAAACCATCCATAAAAATCATACAAGATCAACACAGAAGTGCTAATACAGCCTTTACTTCATAGAATTAAACACATTTCGCTTAGGAAGTGGCACTGCAGTGGTGCCACAGACACTGCCCGCCAGTTCAGCTCCGCTGAAGCACCGAATACTACAGGAAACACGAGAAACCTGAAAAAGAAACATTTTAAGCAGCTGAAAGCAGCCCCAGCCTCCTCCCCGGCCTCAGTTCCACCGCAGCGAAACACAACCACACGGGGCAGGGGCCGCTCGGTACCGACCGTGGCGTCCACAGCTCTCTTGCGGCCGAAGCCAGGCTCCGTCCGCTGCATGGCCGCGACCGGGGAGCTCTGCCCGGGACGCGGCCGTTACGGACACAACGGCCGAGCCCAGCGGGGCGGCGAGGGTTAGGCGGGAATCTGACGGCAGCGGGTGGGCGATGCCGCTCGGCCCGGTGCCGCCGGCTGTTCCCGCACCTCCGCCACCCCCCCCCCGGCATACCGAGATCCCCCAAGCCCCATTTCCCTTTCCTTCAGTCCAGAGACCCGCAACCGGGCACCGACGCCCGCCGCTGAGGGTCCCCCCGCCCCACCCGTCGCTGGTGCCGGGGCTCACCGCACCCCTGGGCTCAGTTCGCACCGCCCCCCGGCCTACCTGCTCCCCACAGAGCCCCCCGGGCCCCGCGGCGGACGCCGCCGCCGCTTTCCGCTTCCTGCTAACTGTTTTCCTGGCCATAGTAGAAGGAAAGCGAAGAAGAGAGGCCGAGAGCCCGGTCCGGACCCCACATGGAGCAGACGGAGCAGGCGGCCGCCAGGACACGGGGCATTAAGTGCCGGCAGCCGTGCCCGGCCGCTCACTCCGCCGCAGGCCCCTCCGGACCGCCCTTCACGACATTTCCCCCTTTTACGGCGGTCGCGTCGCAGCTTTACGGTAGCTCCCTCCGCCCCGCCCGGCAGCCCCGCGTCCCAGCACACGGACGGCCAGCGGGCACCGCCCCCTCTGCGGTTGCCAGGCGACGTGTCCCGAGCCCGAGCGACTCCCCCTGGTGGCGGCGGAGGATGAGGCGGGGAGAACGGTCCCGCTTTCCGCAGAGTCCGTCCGGAAGGATTCACCTCCTTCGCCCTGCGGCCCAGGATACGGTTGGCTTTCTGGGCTGTGAGCGCACAGCTGTCAAATCGTAGGATCGTTAAAGACCGCTGAGATCGTGTAGTCCAGTCGTCAACCCGTCACCTCCATACCACTCAACCACATCCTTCAGTGCCACGTCTGCCCTCCTCTCAAACACCTCCAGGGGTAGCTCAGGGATACCACTTCCGTGAGCAGTTTGTTCCAGTACTTATCACTCTTCATGAGATTAATTTTTTCCTAGTATCCAACCCGAACCTTCCTTGGCACTACTTGAAGTCATTACTTCTTGTCCCACTGCTGGCTCATGCCCACCTTTCCATGCAACAGCGGGGCTGTGCTCTATTTTTTTTGGCAGGGCTGTGATCTATTGTTCTCCCAGTTTGTACTGATACTGGGGGTTGCCATGACCCAGGTGTGAGACCTTGCATTTGGCTTTGTTGAACTCCTCAGGATTCAACAAGCTTGGTGCCATGACCCCTACCTGGGGTTCTATGACCGACTACTTTCTGATAAAGTGCCTTTTCCTAACACCCATCCTGACCCACTCCTGATGAAGGTCCACAACATTTCCTCAGGTCCTGCTCCACTCTGCACTGAACACAGTTTGTAATGCAGCCTGTGTGAAACCAGCTGTGCTCAGGCCCTCTGTACACACTTGTATTTTCACCATAATTTAGAGCAAGAAATAACGCAGTCGATGTACACATTACCCAAGGGACACCCCTACAGCTGTGGGTTCATGAGGTGTGTGGCTTTTTCCATTTCAACATGTTATCTCCTAGCTACAAAGCATACAACAGTTCTTGTTTCAGATTTCAAGATGCTTTCACCATCCAGGAAAATAGGTCATCAATCTCTCCTTTGTACAGGTGGGAATACTGAAATAGACAGTTTCAGGCTGTAGGCTCCAAATGACTTAATGCACAGAGACAGTAACACTACTGAGAAAATTAAAAACAAAAGGGATTTGTGTTGTGAATGGTCTATCTTCAGTGGCATCTCCATGGATCAGTTCAACACTGGTTCCTGCAAAGACAAATTACAAACATTGAAGGGGAACATTGTCAGATATTTACAATTTCATATACATTTGCCTTTTGGGATTCCATAAATAAACATAGCTGTTACACTAAAAATTTGTTTTGCGTGTATGCATGTTTTTCTCTGGCTTAAGATTTCAATACAAGACTAAGCTGGAAGACTTTGTGTATGTCTTCCAAAATGTGGAAAGTCAGTAGGGCTGGGGATGTAACTGTCCCCTTGTACTCAGCACTGGAGTGGCCACAACTTGAGTACTGTGTTCATTTTTCGTCCCTCTCCACAGGAAAGACATTGAGGCTCTGAAGCATGTCCAAAGAAAGGCAATGAAGCTGTGAAGGGCCTGGAACATAATTCTTACGTGAAGCAACTGAAGGAACTGAGATTCTGAGTCTCGAGGACTCTCAGAGGAGACTTTATAACTCTGTATTGCTCCCTGAGTGGGGATTGTAGTAAGTTGGGGTCAGCCTCTTCGCCCCAGTAACAGCGAGAGGACAAGAAATAATGGCCTTACAGAGGTTCTGATTGGAAATAAAGAAAAAAAATTTCTCAGAAAGAGCAGCCAAGCATTGGCAAGGGCTGCCCAGGGAGGTGGTGAAGTCGTTGTCCCTGGCGGAGATGTGGCACTGAGGGATGTGGTCTGGTGGTTAGGGTAGTAGGTAGTGGGGCTGGTGGTTGAACTAGATGATCTCAGAGGTCTTTTCCATCCTCAACAATCTTATGAACGGCTTGCTTTCTGTTTAAGGACATCTTTGAGGTTTAGACAGATCTCACAAATATACTAAACAAGCTGTTACTGTTTAGTGCAGAATGGATATATTGCAAAACAAGCAATCTTGATAGTTAAGCACAGCAGAGGCACAGGCTCACTATTTCTTTAATTTTAAGCCTGTGAGCCTTGGTGGGTAATACCCAGGAAGTATGGGCAGGCTTTGACAGGCAGACCTTTTAATTATTGGCAGCCCTCTTAATTAACAAGCAGCTTGATGCCATCCAGGGTTCACGGAGGGCCCAGTGCGCTGTCGGCACTAGGAAGCACTTGGTCATCTCTACTTCCTCATGCTGCTTTAACACCGAGGTAAGTGCACAGAGCTCCTATGCACTTTTTGCTCTGCCTGCAGCAGCAGCAATTAGAACGGAAATAACCCAAACGCAGTAACCCAAAGGGAGTGAGGGAGGTGGGTGGGGCTGAGAGGAGCCACTTCTAAACCCCTCACACAGAACCGGCTAACGCAGTATTTCCCTGGCTAGTATTCATTTCCCGTTACCACCTAGAGAATCCAAGCGCCTCTAACAAAGCCTCGCGGGGCGTTCAGCCCCCTGACGCCGAAAGCCGCTCGGGCGAGAGCCCGCCCCGTCATCCCCACACAAGCCCCGCCCCGCCCCGCCCCGCGGTGACGTCACCGAGGCTGCAGGTGACGCTGCGTCGTGACGTCAGCACGTCCCCGGGGCGGCGAGCAGGTACACAAGATGGCGGCGCCCGGCGGCCGGACCGGAGAGGGCGGTGCGGTGCGGCTGGCGTAGGGCCGGGCGGTGGGCAGGGGCTGCGGGGACTATTGCGAGCCAGGGGCTGGCAGGTAACGAGCGGGCCTGGCGAGGGGAGGGGGGCGGCGGCGGAGGCGTTTCACCATCCTAGGCCGGTGGGCTCCGGTTCCCTTCCTCCCGTCGAGAAGCTCCGGGCCGCGGCCCCTCCTCGGGCTCTCCGCTCTTTCGCCGTGCCGGAGCTCCGCCGCCGCTCCTTCTCGCCGTCCCGCTGTGATTCAGCAGCAGCGGGGCCTGGCCGCGCCGCGCTGGCGATGCTGGCGTAGGGCGGCTCCCAGGGCAGCGGGATCAGGCCCGGCGGTGGCTCCTCTCGGTGGCTCTCCGTAGTTCCGGCGCCTGTCCGAGTGCTTCCCCGCTGTGAATTTGCCTCGGGGCTGTTCGAATTCGGGTAAAGGGTGCGTGCCCGCCGGGGGAAGGTAGCTTCCTCGCTGCGGTAACCAGATCTTGTGTGGAAAGTCCTTTTCTGGTTTGGATGGTCTGAGCGCTTGTGTGGCTTTTGTCGAGTTTTCCTTCGGGTCGGTTGTTTATTAGTGGTGTCTGCATTGTGATAACCGTAACACTCAGCCCTCCCTTTGCTGTCATGTATCTGCTCTGTTCCCTCGAGTCTCTGCAGGCTGAAGAGCTGAAGTCTTGTTTATTGTATGGATGATAGCTCTCTTTATCGCACTTTGTGCTCATTACCTATTTCTGGATCGTTTCCAGTTAGCTATTCCTCTTCTGAGTTGAAAAGAGGGCTGCATGTTCTGTATTTGAGATGCACACATACCGTGGATGTATGCCACAGTGTAAGAATACTTCATTTCTGTAGTTTTTAACTTCCTGATAATGCCTTCTGTGCTGTTAGCTCGCATTCACTCAGACACTTCTTTGACACTTTGATGAAGGTACTTAATGTAACTTGAGGGTTGTTTTTCTGATCTTTGGTAGCCTAAAGTCTCTCATTTAAAAGGAAAGTTAGGATTGTTTCCTTATAAGTAAGAGAAATTACAATTGTTGGAAGTGAGTAATTGTTTGATAAAGTATTTTTATTCCCCATATCACTTAAAATCCTAAACAAGACAAAAAAAAAAAAGCAGAAAAAACTGGGAAAATTCTGCCTTGTTAGAGCAGAAATTAGCAGGTGGTCTCAGGCACTTTGCTTCACATCAGATGTAGCTGTTGTTTGGGATTTGATAGAAATACGGTTGTGACAGATATAAGTACTTTGATGCGGATATTCATAGATAAGCATTGCCAAATTACAAACAGCTCTTCCTTCAGACTTCAGTGTCTTTGCCACTGATAGAAGGCACTGGCATCTCACAACTTGTTATTGAGTGAATAGGCTTTTGTGGGAGCTTGGCAGGGAGGAATCTATTCCAACTTGTGGTTAAGAGTGTGAAGGAAAAAGGAAGAAGTGGTTCTGCAGTTAGCTACCTGCCTCATCTTCCATGCCTCGTCATCCTTGGAGTGTGGAACTTTATCGTAATGCAGGCACTCCCATAACTGCTTACTTCCTTAAAGCTGGCCATACAGATCTGATCTTTCTGAGTTGTAGCAATATTTTTTTTTCCTGAGGAAAAGGGGGAAAAACATTTTTTGATGCATCCTTTTTTCTCTGTACAGAACAGAGCTATGTGCATAGCTCTGTGTCAGCTGAGGAGGGTGTGTGTGGTAGTGGGCTGATGTATGCCAGGCTGTGTGCTCTATGTTGTTAGGGGAGCGTTTGTTTTCTGCAGTATGGCAGTGGTAGTGTTGCTGGATGACTTCAGCTTTTTTTCTGTAAAAACAGACTTGTAATTTGTAAGTGCCCGTGACACTTTAGAGCACTGCTGCAAAAGAGTGACTTAAACGTTTTAGACAATGTATTGATCCTAAGTATAGGGGAAGAGAAAATATAATCTTTAACTTCGTTGTTGCTAGCTCATGGATTTGGTCTCAAAAGCAAAACTGAAAGTGATTGCACCTTTTTCTTCTCAGTGCTGTATCTGGCCTGCAGTATTTTTTTCCTCTCCTGTGTATGCAATATGGAGCAAAGGAATCAGGACAGAAGTCACTTCTAAGAAAAGAGATTTAACACAAGTGAAATGGAAGCTGAAACACAGTTACCTGGAACATCATGCAGAAAGCTGTGAAGTCTTAAGTATAAGATTTATGAATGAATAATGAGTAAATGTTATTTTCTCTTTATCAGAATTTCTGTGTTCAGACTATTTTAATATGTTGAGCTGCTATTCAGCTATGAGATTTATTAATTTATTTGTTAGTTGATAGCTAGCAAAAACCTTAACGATTAGAAATTATCAAAGACACGTGGAAGAGCTCCATCTCCATTGTTCTAATAGTACCTTGCAGAGCTCAATACTTGTTATCCGAAAGACAAAAGCCTTTCATTTGGAGAAGACGAGTCAGGTTTCAGGAGCAGCCCAGCAGGCCATCCCATCTAACATTGTCACATTGACAGCCTGAGCTGTTTTGCTCAGGCACTTTTGTGGCAAAAGTACTGTAATGCTGCAGTAGGCACTACCTTACTTGTTTTTAATTCCATTAGCTCATGGCTTGTGGTGCTTACACAAACTTTAGTGACTTCAGGGCATTAAACAGTCCTGACACTACCCAATCTCCATGTCATAAGCTTTTTGTCATCAGCTTGTTCTGCATTTCACAGCTGGTAACAGCATGTATATTTTGATAAACTGATATGTGAGGAAATTTAGTTCTAATTTCTAACAGGAACTGCAATCCACTTTCTCTGTTATTTTGTTTCTAACAAAATTTCTTGCAGTCTTTTCTTCTGTAAATTGCAGACCTGAAACTATGAAATCCTTACTTAAAGAATCTTCACATAAAGGCGTTACGGTCTACTTAAAATGACCATTGTAATTCAAATCAGAGACAGTATAAAAATGGTCTCATGGAGCTATAAGTGAAAAGCTCTGGAATATGTTTTTGAAATGAGTTTTTTAGAGGAAAGGGAACGATGGTTGTTTACAAGTTAAAAATAGTTTTCTGGTTTTAAAAAAAGTAGGTCTTCTGGGGTGTATTGGAGGTGATTTATTTTCTCTGTATTGTTTACTTGTACTGGTAACAAGGAAGGCAATAGCATCTAATAGCATGTACTGGATCTAATAGCATGTACCACTCTACAGTCAATCTTTGCCCTTGAGGGGAGAGAAGGCCTTGCAGAGAGGTCTTGACAGATCAGAGCTGGACAGTCTCCAATAGCATGAAGCTCAACAAAAGCAACTGCTGGGTTCTGCACCCAGGAAGGGGCGGCCCTGGCTGCAGGTCCAGTCTGGGGGATGAGAGGCTGGAGAGCAGCGCTCAGAAAGGGGGGAAGGCTCTGGAGGGCAAGGTGTGTGCAGGGCAGCTGAGGGCCCTGGGTGTGCTGGGCACAGGGCGGAGGAGCGGAGGGGAGCCTGATGGCGGCTGCAGCTCCTGACAGGGAGCGGAGGGCAGCGCTGAGCTCTGCTCTGTGTGACAGCGACAGGGCCGAGGGAACGGCATGGAGCTGCACCAGGAGAGGGGCAGGGGTGGGGAAGGGCTCTGCACCAGAGGGCGGTGGGCATGGAACGGCCTGCCCAGGGCAGCGGGCACGGCTGGAGCGCCAGGAGTGTTTTGTCAGTGCTCTCAGATACAGCGTTTGAATTTGGGTGGTCCTGAATGGAGGCAGGAGTTGGTATTGACAGTTCACGTGGTTGCAGTCAATTTAGGCGTGCTCTGTGATTCTGTGCTTGGGATTGCTGTTGATCAATGCAAGCATGAGCTCGCTGTTTTTCTGTTAGCTACCTAAGTGGGTAATCACTTCTGGTATGCTAGCGCTCTGCTTTATGCTTTGACCCTCTGGCTTGGTTTGAATAAGCTCATGTTCTGTTCCCCTAGTGACCTTTTACAGTCAGCATAGTCTTGATTGAGGCCTTCTAGAATAATCTGAGCAGTGTTTTTTTTCTTTTATTTCTCTTAAATGGCAAGTAATTCTAGATTTTTCTTACATGGGTAAAGGATTTTCTTAAATGCAGGAAAGTAATCCTTAAGGAAGGAACGGCTTGTATGTCTACACGAGCGTTTCTCGCTTCCTGAGGCTGTAAGCCTTTTTCAGAAGTTTATGCCGTGCTTGCTTAAAACCTAGAAGTATACAAAGGAGTAACAGAGTAATAGTGTTCATTTCACTGCAATTCAGCAGTAACAGTGCTGAAACTTAGTTTTAAATCCGTAGAAGGGAAGGTTGATTCAAAATGTTATGTTGTATCAATAGAATTACTTCTATACAGACTGAGTACAACTGTGAATTCCCATTTGAAGTCTCTCACTTGCATTCTGTGTGGAGCGCTTGGATCAGAGCAACTCTTAAATGGGAAAAACAGAGGATGAATCCTATACAGGAAGCAGTCAGTTCAAGTGGAAGATGGTCCTAATATGAATATACTTAAGCTGCCCAGGTAGTCAGATTTGAGGAAAGTAGTAATGAACTAAATTGTATTAGTTGTGAGCTCTCCGTCTCGGTTATGTTGCTGGAGGTCAGTATTCACCATAGCTATGTACTAGATCCTATCAAATAATTGACTTAAGTCCTTTTCTGATTTACGTTTGTGCTGTTTGGCATCCTTGGGTTCACAGCAGATGAAGATGTGACTGGCGAGATTTATTCCCTCTCCTTTGGATGCTGGATTTCTAAGTGACTCTGTATTGTCATTATGCTGTGACAAGTGTTAGTGCTGTGCTTAATTGAGACATGGAGCTTGTGTGTTCAGTTTGATTTTTCTTCATCAACTTGACTCCAAAATCAAATTAGATTCATAGTTTACAAACGCTCTGTGAAGTTGTTGTCAGAGGATATGTCTTTCCTTTTCCAATACAGCAGAGCTATCTTGGGTTCCACCCTAATGACTAATGCTGTCATGTGGCATCTTTGTACAGTAATGTATAATAATTTGAAAAAGAAATATAGGAGCTCCTTCTAAATGGGAGAGGAATTTCTAATAATAAAATCACTGTTAATTATCTGGGATAAAATTTGGTGGTGAAAAAGCATAGAGAAGCTTTATGGTCTGTGTAG